CTCGTACATTCTCCTTTTGCATTGAATAAGAATTTGTAATAGCTCCCGTCAGCACATATTGCTAAAATAAAATAAAAAGGTTAATTTCGATTTTCATCATGATGTGCACCAATTTCATATATATGCACATATACATATATGTGTGCACATATATATGTGCATACATACACATATATGTGTGTGTACATGTATATATATATATATATATACAGGGAATGGACATAATAATGGAAACACTTTTATACTAATAAATTTTTTCACATTTCTCAAGAAATAATTCAAGAATGATTTTATAACTTTAGAAGTGTTTAGATTTATGTGATTTCTCATACTTTTCAATAAATTTAAAGCTTTTAGATATTTAAAGGAACGAACAATAAATTACAAACAGAAAATAGTGTTTTTGAACACCCCATGCCAAATTATGTAGCAATAAATTTGTCACTTGCAGCAATTATTTTGGTTATTACATTCAGTAATTACACAAAATTTCGTGAGACTAACTTAAGACTACTTTTTTGTTATAACTTTAAAAATGTTCAATAAAATTAAACAAAATTAATTACATAATTTTTTGCTTTGTAATTTTTTGCAGTGAATCATATTTGGCAACTGATAATAAATTTCTGATTTGAATATCTTAAACATTGAATATTTTTAAGTAATAATTGAATATTTTTAAAATTATAGCAAAAAAACATACGACGAAATAATAAGTTCTTAATAAAAATGTCCATACCTTCATAAATATATAAGCTAGATTGATGAAATTTTGTGCAATTATTGCATATAATAACCAAAAATATTTGTTACAAGTTACAATGTATGACATTATATACTATATTTTTTAGCACAGGGTATTCTAAAACACTATTGTCCTTGTGTAATTCAGTGTCGGCCCCTCAAACCTCTAAAAGCTTTCAACTCCATTGAATAGTATGAGAAATCCCAGAATCTAAACACTTTTAAAGTTATAAAATGATTCTCTAAAGTATTTTTTGAGGAACATAAAAAAATTGTGTTCGTATAGATATGTTTTTATTATTTTGTCCAACTTCTGTATGTGTGTGCATATATATATGTACCGACAGTGCTGTGGTCAAAATATACAGTGAACCACCGAAAATTAATAATAATAATTTATACACTATATTGTATATTTTATTTCAATAAAAAAAAATAACACCACAATACAGTGAAAAAATGGTAGTGAAGACAAAAGAAGTATATTGTATAACAGAGAAAAAAATATTTTTAAAAATAATATTTTGTCTCAGGCAACACAAAAAATAATTTCTGTTTTAATTCTGCAATTTGGAATTCAATAGACGACACTTCTGATGAAAAATCCTTGATTAATTTTCGCTTAATTTCATTTTATACTTCCCACCCACATGATGTGAAAGATGCAAAGATGAAAAAAGAGTGACATTTTTAAAGGGAAAAAAAGGGCATATCTTGAGTGATGTAAAGTTAAATAAAATGCTATTTTTCTGCATAAATGGTAAGTTGCAGTGAGGGAGGAAGTACTCCGAGAAGCATAGGGGTGGGTTACACAATGAAATCGATGTTGGCGAATTTAAGTTCACCTTCGAATCCTGCCAAAATTTTTTTAAAGTCTTGAAACTCGCAAATTCTCTAAAAAGAAGTCGCTGACTTGGTATCTTAATGAAACTCTGCAGTGGGTATTTTTCATGTCATTTAAAAATACTGAAAAAATTAAATTATAATAAATAAAACCACTTTATTAATAAATCATAATTATATAAAGATCAACTTGCTACTAATATTAACACGTAATGCAAATTACATAAAAAGTAATTTTAATTTATCTGAGCTGCTTCCAGATTTGATAATAAAAATAAATGCTACAGTTTAGATATCAATAAAATTCTTAGTATCTCTGCAATATACAGATATTCTGCATCACAGATACTAGTTCATGAAAAGAAAAATAATTTTAAAAATACTAAATCATCTCACAAAAGAAACTAATAAATGAAGAAGCAATATCAATTCAATAGTAATTAAAGTTTTATTCATTCAACTAAATAAAATGATAATTCTAAAAATAAAATAAACAAAATAAGACAACTGGATGGAATTGTTTTTCTTTTAGTACAGGGATGAGATTGGCCAAAAGGCAAAAAAAGCTGAATTTTAAGGTGAGTAAATCTTATGTGATTTATAGCAAAAATATGAGTAACATATTCTCATCCAGTTTTGCTGATGTTGTACTGTCTATATAAATCAATAATCGTCGATAGAAAAACTGCCACCTTTATAGTAACTAATTCAAGAAAAAGAACTCACTTCTTACAAGAATAGCGATAAAGGATTGAATATTTAAATCACGTGAATATGAAAATGTAGAAATACAAATCATGATGCGTAATTTTAAGATCGCGTAAATATGAATCAAGATGCATTATTTCTAAATCGCGTGAATACGAATCCAAAACCTAATTTTTAAATCACGTGTAAATACGAAAATCGATGTTTGGTGTTACAACCGTAAAAAAGAATCACGACGGGTGATTTCAAACTCGCGTGAATACGAATAGCTACATAGATTTTAAAAATGCGTCAATACAAATCGCGATAATGGATTTTTAAATCTCGTAAATAAGAATTGCAATGTATGATATTGAAATCGCGTGAACAAGAACTTTTAAATCAGGTAAATATGAAAATCGATGTTTGATATTAAAATGCAGCGACATCTGGATTAAGAAAATACGAGTTATCTAGCTGACCGGTAAAAATGCAGAAAATCTCATTTTCTGCGCGAAAAGCGGAAAAAATCGCTAAAATAAATAAAAATGCGGAAGGGTTTAGCAGCTACGTAGTTTGAATTTTCCATTTATCTTTGAAAATCGGAAATAAAATAATTATTTTATTTTAATGACTGAATTTTTAGAAAAAGCGGGATATTTACTTTAAAAAAAAAAACAAAAAAAAAAACACGAAAATTTTAGAGAATCGGAGTTTTTGATAAAAATTTTTTTTAAAAAAAAAAGCTGAAATTCCAGAGACAAAAGCGAAAAAAGCGGAAATCCGCTAAAAAACAGAAAAATCTCATCCCTGTTTAGTGATAATATTTCTTCCTGTTTCCATTTTTTTAATATTGGTTAAAATATGAAAGCAAATAAAAAAATCTGACCCTTTATTATAAAGAAAAAACATTACAAAGAGAAAAACATTACAAATTTATTAGAAATTTATGTCTTTACTAAATAAGAAAGCTTAAAGTAAAATTATTCCAAAACTTTTAATTAAAATATTAAAATCAGTGTTAAAATTAGTAGGGATTAAACCCAATCAGAAGTAAAATTTTCCAAAAAGTAAGCTTTATAGTCTTTGAATCTTGCAAACAGGGTAAATTAGAAAACAGAAAACTAGAAGAAATTGTTAAAATAAAAAGAAATTCATTCGACTCTCTATAATAAAATAAACAATAAATTAGAGATATAAAAAACATGAATGAGAGTGACAACAAAACAGCAAACACATACATGAAAAAAAAATGGAAAGCGCAAATTATGTAACTATCTTCTATTATCTCTAAATGCAAAATAACTTGAAATAAAAAATGCAATAATATCTGTCCATTTATTATAAAAAATAAGTAAAAATTTGGAATAGATATCAAAGGTGGATCCAGGTGGACGTTGGGGCCTCTTCACAACATTCAAATTCTGAAAAACATCCCATTCACAAAATTCTAACTTCTAAAAATAGTCCCTTCACAGAACTCAAATTCATAAAAATGGCTTCTTTAGAAAAATACAAGAAACGAATGAAATAAAATAAAAACATGACCACCGAAGCCGACGTCTTCAGGGGGTACCGGCCTCGGTAGCCATTAAAAACAAAACCATTTCTAATTGAGGGAGAAGCAGATGCTTAAAATATCTCCCTCGGTACCCCGATGGTTTTGTATAGAGGTCCAGGAAGAATATCAATCAAAATCATCAGAAAAATAAAAACTCACTAAAAAAATTTTTGGAAATATTTCTTGCTTCAGGTGTTTTCTAATTATTTTAAAACGTCAAAGGGTTTTGTTGGATGTCTAGGTTTTATATGTTTAATTTAGTATTTCCTTTTAGGTTAATTTTAAAAAAATGCAAAGTACAATATATAAATATTTTATGGCGCCTGGCTCGTCGCGCGCCCAAACAAGGAGTACTGAAGTTAATCTTGACTTAGGGATTACTTCGGACAAAAAGTTACTAAGTCAAATATTTTGTTTAAATAAATTTAAAAATATAAAAAAATTTAAAAAGTTTAGGAAATGTGGTAATAAAAAATGTAAAACTTGTCCTTTGGCTGATAGTTCTCAGATTGACAGTCATTCTAATGTATTTTTTTGTAAAAGTATTAATATTATTTATTTAATTCAGTGCAATTGTTGTAATTTGTGTTATGTTGGTCAGACAGGTCTTGAATTTCATAAGCGGATTAATTCCCACAGATCAGCTATAAAAAATTTTAATAATAGTAATTGTTCCACGGATTATGAAATTTTACATTTTCAATTTCATGATTTTAATAATGTTACTCTTTTTATTTTGGATTTTATGGAAAATTTAGATAAAAGACTTGATTTAGAAAATATTTACATTGGTAGTCTTAAGACTCTTTTTCCTTATGGATTAAATAGTAAATTTAATGGGGAAGGTACTGTTAATACTGAAGATTTTTGTATTTATAATAAATTAAAAGTTTTTGATTTTCCTGGTGTTTGTGATTCAAAATTTAGAAGTAAAAGGGGAGGTGGAAAAGGTAAGGGTAAATTTATTGAGTTTGATGAGTTTTCGAATTTTTGTAACTTACCTGTTAATTTGAATAATATTTTCACTATTAGGAAATATATTTTTGGTTTTAAAAATAAAATTTTAAAAAATTTCCTTATTAAATTTGGTTCTAAAATTAAATTTGATACTGAACTTGTTAAATTTATAGTTTTGGATTTAATTAAATCAAAAATTGGTGTTAATAAAACTGATTTGCTTTTTAATAATGTTTCTAAAGTCGAAAGGGTTTTTTGTACGATTAATTTTCATGATAAGAATTTTGAAAATGCTAAGTTACCACAGATTATTCATGGTCTTTCTGATTTCTTTCCTTTAGAACAAATTAGGGTTACTGCTGCTTTTAAATATTCTTCTACACTTAGGAAAAAGGTGTGTAATTATAATTTTTTAAGTCGAAATCTTAATTGTATTTCTAAATCTGATTGTTATTGTAATGAGGAGGGTTTTTCAAAATTTATTGATAATGATTATGGACATGTTATTACCGGAAATTTGGAAATTGTGGGTGATCAGGATCTAATTAGCATTTTAAGTAAGGGTTCAAAATTTAGAACCAGAGTTAAGATGAAAAAAGAAGATTTTATTTTATCCATTAAAAAAGATCTAGATTTTTTTATTGCAAAAATTTCCAGAAAATATCATTGGCCTGTTGAAGGTTTTTCTGAGTGGAAAGCTAAAATTATTGAAAGGGTTAAATTTAATTTATTTAATACCAGTTTTAGTTCATTTCCTAAAGGTACTTTTATT